TCCTTGTAGGGCCTGCCCTGCTGCCCCCTGATCATGCGAGTGGCCCTCCTCTGGACCTTTTCCATGTTGTCCACATCCCTCTTGAAGTGCAGCGCCCAGAATGGTCCCCAGGGATTCACATACCAGGTGTGGAGGTGGAAGTCACTGATCTGTCCTCCTTGGAGGAATCCACAGATGTCATTACTGGTACCCTGCCACTACCTTCCTTGCTTGAGCCAGCTCAAGTTGTAGCCATGGTTGGCGAGGTCTCTGGAGCAGAGGATGGCACAAGGACCTGTCTCTATTCAGGGTGTCTGAGTACCTCCATTAGTGGATGGAGGTACCTATAATGTGACATGTTACACACTGGGATGCCCTTCCGCTGTGCTCTTGCAGCTTCTCTGCAGAAAACAGCCTGCAAATCTTGGCCTTGATCTGGAGCTTGGCTGCCATCTTGTTGTGCCCCTACTCAGCAAATCTCCTGGATGCACCAAGGTATACATGCCAGTTCAACCGTGGGCTGTTGACGAGCTGGCACAATACTTCAGGGTCCCCCAGCACCCTCACTAAACTCTTGGTTTCTGCATAGGACCAAGTGGTCCTAGTCCTACAGAAACCGGGCGGCTGCCTGGGGCCCAGACAGAAAGGGAGTCCAAAAATGGTTATTTTTAAATTATTATCATTATCTCTGGTAAAGAGGGGGCCGCTACTAAAAGTTTGCCTGGGGCCACCAGGAATGTAGATACGGTGCTGCCTATGCCCTGGTCTGTTCTCTTCTCTTCCCAGTGTCAGATATCTTGGATCAATAAGGGGTACCTGGGGATCTGTGCCCTCAATTTATAAGTCTTGAGGTGCCCGGGTCCACAAAAGTTCACCCCCTTAACCCTGTTTTTGGTGCACAAAGTTTAGACACCAGACATGCTGCCGCCATGCTGGCAAATTTGTATCTTATGGGCATACTTGTTCTGGACAGTTTTTTTTGCAATTTTTGGTGCCACAATATCTGCAAGGTGTAGCTAATCAATGAGCCATGTATGGATGGCTAGGCCCGTGATGAGTGCCCACATAGTCCCTTTTGGGGCATGACACAACAGTGAACTACCCACCAGTGACCCATGTGTCAAGACCCCGGCCCCTGCTCACAGTTTCTTACATAGATGGTAGGGGAATGAATACTAACAGAGCTGACCTGCTAATCATAAACCAGGCACACTTAACACTCAGGGGGGCTCACAGAAAGCTGCTTGCCTGTTTTATGGAAAAATGGCTAGTGAATAAATGGTGCTGGGGGGGCAATTATGCTGTGCTCAGTATAATAGCTCAAAAAAGGAACTGATTATTTGGCTGGGATTATGGCTGCAAATTCTTTTTGGGCCACACAACACCAGGGGAATCTCCTGGACATCCCTGGCCAGAGTCTTGTCTATCATAAAGCGCATCTTGGCGGTGCCAGGCTTTCAACTGACAGCCCTCCCATGCCATTAATTAGGTTGGCAGATTTATTCATGCCATTAATTTAGCATAGCCAAGGTGAGACCGGTGGCAAGAGTGCTGCTGATGTGAAGGTGGCCCCAGTCACAGCCTTG